CTCCCCCCCCAGCAGCCGGGGCGGGACCGGTCGCGGCTCGACGCTGCGCCGGAGCATGCTGACTCAGCCACACGTCGGTCCCAGCGCTCAGATCCCCGACCCCGGCCCGCGCTCGGGTCCGGCGCATCTCAGTATCCGCGCCGCCCGCGCTCGGTTCCCGCCTCAGTCCCGCGCCGCCGCACCCCGCGCGCCGGGTCCCGACGCTCAGATCCCGCCCCCCCGCCGCGCGGTCCGGGCTCAATCCCCGCCCCCGCCGCGCGCTCGGGGTCGGCGCTCAGATGCCGGGGGTCCGGCGCAATCCGCGCCCCGGCCCGCACCCCGAGCCCGCGCTTTCGGGTACCGGCGCTCAGACCCGCGGCGCCCCACCCGGCCGCACCCGGCCGCGCTCGTGGTCCGGCGCTCAGATCCCCGCACCCCGCCCGCGCTCGGGTCCCGGCGCTCAGATCCCCGCCCCCGGCCGGGCGGGTCCGGCGTCATGATCCCAGCACCGGCCGCGCTCGGGTCCTGCGCTCAGATCCCGCCCCGCCGCGCCGGGCGGCGCTCGATCCCGCACCCGGCCTCGCTGGGTCCCGGCGCTCAGATCCCGCGCCCCGCCGCACCCGGCTGGAAGCCTCGCGGCCTGGCCACTCACCGACGCCGGGAGCAGCAGAGCAGCGGAGCAGCAGCGCCGTTCGCCTCCATGGCTCCGCCAGGCCTTTCGGCAACTGCCGGCAGGCGGAAGCGGCCGGGCTCTGGCAGGGCAGGAGGCAACATTGGGCACGACGCTCTGGGCATGCGTGGCCTCCGGGCTGGCCGCCTGCAGGATCCGCCACAACCCTGCCCTCCTCGGCCTCTCCCCAGTCTCTGCCTTCAGTTGCGCCCAGTGTCCCCTGTCAATAGGGGGAGAGGCCAAACTCCCTAAAATCATTTGATTTATCTCAGAGCCAAATTTGGAGGACGGTGACCTGGCTGTTGGCCAGGCAGCTTGAGCCAAGTGACTCTGCTGATGCTGCTTCACAACGCCTCGGTTTCATGCATTTCAGAGAGACAGGGGGTTACAGGTAAAGGCATCCAATCAATCGTGGAAGGTACATTGGTTTGGCCAAAAGGTGGGGCCATTCAAAGGGGAGGGGCTTACAGGTTACACGGTGGGGTATTTACAGATTCTTTGAATTGTAGTGGTTAAAGACATGAAGCTTTGCCAGGCAGGCTCAGTGGCTCAGCCTGTAATCCTAGCCACTCTTGGCGAGGACCGAGGCAGGCGGATTTGATCGACGGTCAGGATTTCAAAACCAGCCTGATGCCAATGAGCGAAGACCCGACATCTACTATAAATAGAAAGCAAATTAATTTTGGCATAATATTAGTAGAAAAAAATTGCGGCATGGACGCATGGCGTATTCAGTACGGTCCGTGGGGCTGAGCCAGGAGGATGGCTGAACCGAGGAGGTTTGGGTTTGCTGTGAGCTAAGGCTGAAGCAGGCAATCACTTACCTGCGCAACAATAGCGACTTCTGTCTCAAATAATAAATAAAATAAGACATGAAGCTTTGTCTAAAGGCTTGGAATGGTTTCCCATAAGGAGCTGTTTATTGGCTTTTCTCTCTTCACCTTGTCTCCGGCACAGGTTTGCGGCACCTTTGCCAAAATGCACAGGACCTTGCACGTAGGTTCGGGGCTGCTTGGGGGCTTGCTGGCGCAGGTGGGCGGCGGGGCGCGCGGGAGCCTGCGTGCGCCGCCTGGAGGAAGTGGCGGAAGGGGTGTGGTATTGGCTACAGATGGACTCAACCCATTTCTCCTGCTATCTGGCATTCGTACATATTAGGAACGGTTTCATACAGATAGACATCCTGTTTCACCATTTTCCCAATACCATCAACAGTTTTCCTTTCCTCTCATCTCCTCCCCTCCCCTCTCTTTCTCCTTTCCCTTCCTTTCCTTTCCTTTTTCCTTTCCCCTTTCCTTTCCCTTCCTTTTTCCTTTCCTTTCCTTTCCTTTCCTCTTTCCTTTTCTTTCCTTTTTCCTTTCCTTTCCTTTCCTCTTTCCTTTCCTTTCCTCTTTCCTTTCCTTTCCTTTTTCCTTTCCTCTTTTCCTTTTCCTTTCCTTTTTCCTTTTCTTTCCTCTCCTTTTTCCTTTCCTTTCCTCTTACCTTTTTCCTTTCCTCTTTCCTTTCCTTTTTCCTTTCCCCTTTCCTTTTTCCTTTCCTTTCCTCTTACCTTTTTCCTTTCCTTTTTCCTTTCCCCTTTCCTTTTTCCTTTCCTTTCCTCTTACCTTTTTCCTTTCCTCTTTCCTTTCCTTTTTCCTTTCCCCTTTCCT